ATCTCAGCTCAGGCTCATCTCTCCACTGCTAATATCTAAGCGGAGGAGCGGGCCCCTCCCCCTCACGTACCCTCACCCCGCACCATTAATTAAAAGATGTCGGTACATTTCAGCGATGTAATTTTGAGCAGCCGACATTTATATTCCAAGGCATATGCGTCTCAAAACTCCGGTTTTCCCCTTCAGGTGATGGGTAACGCAGCACCTTTTCATACGAGGATGAACGCAGCTGCTTCCTCTACTGCATGCCCAGGTCATAGAGAAGCCCCTTCGATAAACCTGATGCAGCATCCTCTCGGTGGCTTTGCCTGAATTTGCATACAGAGCTCTGGAGTCTTTGAAAAAGAGCTCCAGTCTACAGATACGTACACATTACAAAACTTTAACGCCGCAAAATATTTCTTGTTACTAAGTTGTTTTCCCATGAGGCACTTCAGGAGAATAGTTTGTTTTCTATGTCAGTGCATTGGCATCACCCCGCATCTCAGAGAATGCAGCGCACGATCAGGATATGAGGAAGATAATTGCAATGACTAATGAGAGGGAAGTAGCAACAGAGGTCTCAGAAGCCGTGAAGGAATTCACAGAGCGTCAACGGCATCCACTGGCTTTTACCGGTGCATTATGGGAACGGATCCATGCTCAGTAAAGTATACCAAAAGCCCAGATCTCTAAGGACCACACTGCCTGCCCTCATTTTTATTCCAATTATGGGCCATGGGTATGGTGTGTGTGGCGGGGAGTGTGTGTGGCGGGGAGTGTGTGTGGAAGGTTCTCCCAAGGCTCTAGGTGCGGTGACACATGGGCTTACGCAGTAACATTCAGGCTCCCTCACACGTACTCAACATCCCATTGAAATGAGGAACCTTGGAAAGCTGAAGGTCACGGATACAGAAGACTAGGCAGGAAATTCAACAGAAAAACAAGGTGAATGAACTCTAAAGAAATACACACAGGCCTGCTCTTTCCTGCTCCAGGAGATCAACCACCCTGCAAAACTTAGGTGCAGTCCTAATTAAGCATGAGTGATACACATAAGCAGGTCCTTCAATAACATCTCAGTATGATTCTGCGTTCCATTTGAACTCGTAACTCATAAACTCCAAGTTCCTAGTCGGAAATTTCAACTGCAAAGCCCCCTGAGGTTGGATTTCCGACTCGTGAATCTACACAACCCCAAGCTCAGAATTCAAGACGACGGCAGCCTTTATCAACAGAAGTGAAAGCTGCAGTTTCGTCCCAGTCAGAAACTGAGGTGAACAGTCTTGATGTATTTGAGAGGTGAATCGGTGCAGCGGCTCAGCTTTAGCACCTCATTAGCAGTTGTCTTCAGCAATTCATTCATTTTTGCAGTTAGCTTCAGAAGCTAGCTGTAACAGTATCCCTTCTTTTAAGCTTTTTTTCTGTCTGTCTTTCCCTGTGTAATTTGTCGTGTGTTTGTGTGTTGCTACAGTGTTTTTATGCAGGTAATGTGTTGTTATCCAATGATATTGCCAACAATGACTAACAATTAAATAACTGGGGCCCGTTTCATTAAGCAGAATTTCTTGCTTAAGCAGACTTCTTGTCGGATTTAAGGAAGTCTGGGCTATAAGTAAGTGAACGAAGATAAAGGCCACTTGAACTGAGGTAAATTAAATCTGACAAGTTATCTGGGTAAGCAAAAAATCCCTAAATGGCTTTCCGATTTGCTGCACAGGAATGCTGTTAACTTGTGTGTGATGTGTGTGAGTTCCGACCTCCAAGGCAAACGGAACACAGCATTAGAACCAGCTATGTTAACAAGCTCACCTAAGCTCTACTGCCGGGGTGGCCAATCTTACCTGCAAAGGGCCGGTGTGTATGCAGGTTTCTGGGGTAACCTTTAGGTCAGCTGTTCGAACCCAGGTGTGAAGACTCTTCTACTAATCAGTCGTCTAATGAGTAATCTGCTTAGGGAATTGCAGTGAAAACCCGCATACCTGCAAACCCTTTCTGCTCTACAGGGTGGTAGATCTCCAGGAGTAGGAATGAGGTGCCCTGGATTAGCAGGTAAAGTGCTCAGCCTTGAACAAAGCCACACTGCATCCAGTGGTACAGTGATCCAGATGGCTGGGGAAGACTGCCCAGCCCATGCAGTGCAAGAAGGCAGCCTGGGGGCCAACTCCCCCATCTACTGCTCAGTGCTCAGCATTCGATCAACTGTGTTCACATGACAGTATTTCTGCTACTAAATAAACAACTGGGCTTTAACCTCAGCTTTTAACGAGGGTAAATTCCTAAACTGTTTATTAATTTGTGAGCTAGGCATGGTGAGCATGTGAATGACCTGGATGATGCAGCACTTGAGGGCTTCCCAGAGGAAGCTGAGCTAACACTGGGGTGGGCGGGGCAAGGTCACAGGAAGGAGACACAGCGGCAGCCAATCAGCTCCCTGACCTTTCACAGGGCGGCATGAGGGAAATGGAGAATCAACGTAACGCATCAGGGACCAGGGATGCAGCCGCTGGGTCATGCCACTGAACCGGCTCTGCTATAACATGCTGTAGTTCTAAACATCCCATCATACACGCAGCTCCTGTGGCTCAACAAGTAGAGCCTTGTGCTAACAATGGAAATGTCGCGGTTTTCGGGAAAAAAACAAAACTGTAAGCATTCCCTCTACTGTAAGCTGCTTTAGATAAGTGTCAGATAAATGTGACCAGCATGGTATAAAATCAATGTAATAACATTTAATATCATTCTTTTATAGGGCACTGCAAATCTGTTTACGATGATTCCTCCAGATTTTACGATTCTTACACATTTTCTGACACCCTTTTTCCATACTTTTTTGAATCCAAGTTATTTCTCAGCGGACATTTTAAAGGATATCAAGCCTAATTCCTGCCGCTTGCACAGACATTCAGACCCACACCTTAGTATTTTGTAGAGCAGGGGTGGGCAATCTTCACCGCAAAGGGCCGGTGTGTATGCAGGTTTTTGGGGTTACCTTTAGGTCAGCTGTTCAAACCCAGGTGTGAGGACTCTTCAGACAATCAGTCCTCTAATTAGTGATCTAATTAGGGAGTTTCAGCGAAAACCCGCATACCCACCGGCCCTTTGCGGATAAGATTGCCCACCCCTGTCGTAGAGCCTCGGCACTAATGGGCAGTTATCCCCAGATTTGCACGCTGGCCTGGTGTGATTTTTGCCCATTACACATTGACAGATTTGCTCCAGGTCATTCAGCTCGCTTGGACTGTGCTGCCGTTCTTTTTTTGTTCGACCGATTCTCGGCGGGATTGAGATCAGGACTTTAACTGTCTGCTGAAGGACATTCACCTTATTATGCTGGATGTCCTCCAGTGCAGCCCCAGCCCTGTCCTTGGCACCCCCGTCCTGCTGAAAGCCATGCCTCCGTCCAAACAGGACACTCACTCCCCGCCGTGCAGCATCATCCCTGTTTCTCCAGCCACAGATTCTTCTCCCCGCATCTTAACTGGGTCACTCTCTTACTTTCAGGTGAACTCCAGGTCTGCCCAGTGAAGGGGCTTTTTCAGTAATGGCTCCATTCCTGCCTCCCTCCCTTACAGACCAGTCTTGCTCAGAGCTCTTGACGCACGGAGCAGATGTACATTTACTCCAATCTCAGCCTCTGGACACCATAGCTTTCTTCTCCTGATCGCTGTGCTGTAGCGTTCATGTTAGCTTCCCTCACAACCGTACATGTTGTTCAGGCACAATTTTGTGGGACCCCTCACCTAGGCAGACACTCTTTCAATCCCTGACTCCAGCGTTTATCGGGATGGCCGACACTTTCTCCTTCTAATCTCTGTGTCTCCATCCCAAACATTGGTGGAAGACTCCTTAGATAAAGTTTTAACTCTTTTCATTCATATTCAGTGCCTGACAACTGTGTGCAAAGCAAATTTTGACAATTAACTTACTTGAGTCATGCACAGATGGAGTTCAATTAAGTGGCATTTTTTTTAATACTTACACAGTTAAGAGTTAAACAATTAGTCATTTTAATACTTTAATAATCATTGTATAATAATGTTGTATATGTAACAAATTTTAGTTCCCAGTCCAACATGTGATAAATAAACTTTTAAAAGTAACAGAATATGAAAATAACGTAAGGGACTCATTTATATAACCTAGAAAATACACACAGTGTGTGTGTGTGTGTGTGTGATCATGTATATATTACATTGTGGGGATCAAATATTTTGATGGTTTGGGGACCTTTTCGGTCCACAGAAGCAAAAACTTTATTTTATAGTAATCTGTGACTGCAGTTAAAAAACTAAAGATGCTTGTATTTTGTTTGGTTACTTATGGTTAAGATTAGGGCTGGTAGGGGTTAAGGCTGTCATTGCTGGGATTAGGATTATGCCCATAGAAATGAATGGAGTCCCCACAAACATGTGTGCGTGTATATATATTTAGCATAAGTCCTTTGTCCCTCTCCAGCATGAGTTACAAGATGACAATGAAAGAAGCCGCCCCGCAGGGGAAGGGGTATCCAGAGTGACAGTCCATCACACATGGTGACACAGCAGGTCCAAATATGTGACAGTCAGCAGTCAGTGGAGTGCATTTCCATAAAAACACAGCTAACAGATTGCTAACTCAGCAGCGAAACATAAGTGCATTCATGGGATCTAGCTTCAGAGGCTCCGCGGATGAGCAGAGCCTTTTTTACAGGCTAATTTAACCCCCACTGGCCTAGCACTAGAAGCTGGTAGCGCCCTCACTGCCAAAACAGCCGTCTGGGGTGCTGTGAGGCCTCCCAGCCTGCGTGAGCGCTGTCTCATTACGCAGCACCTCTGCCGTAAAGGCCGTTCACCTCCCAATTGTCCGGCACTCCACAGTGCTGGGGAACCACACCTTCCAACAAAAGAAAACCACGGTTTATAATGCCACACAATTAACACCTGCTGCACCTTCTCCATGCTTCAGAATCCCGCAGCGCCGTTTCTGCACCAAAGTTACCGCCATGGAGGTTTGATTGCTCTCTCTTTTGTCCCCATCAGGCATGAGGCTTGGAGACCCCCTGGGACAGACCATGAGGAAGGTGAGCCTGCTGTCACACTCACAAACATGCCAACTGCATTATGCTCAGCACTGATAAGGCCGGTCCAATCGGGCTGACTGACGTCCTGTGGCCCTCCCAGCAGCCCCCACAGTGGCCCATGCTTTTTGCAGGACCGCAGAGGACCGGTGGTCCTCTGGGACCCCGATGCACATTGTCTCCTTGTTTATCAAACACGCTCGCTTCTCATGGCACGGGCACCCTCACTCGGGGTACAGGCGAAAGAGCTGGGCGAGGGCTCTGATTGGGACACGCCCTCGAGGCCCCACCCCCTCGGACTTCCTTGTGCTCCCTCCGCTGCCGCGATAATCAATTGAGATGAAAGGGTTCTTTAATCACTGCAGTGCTGACTGTGGGAGGCTGTGCACCCGGCAGGCCTGACAAAACATGCTTCTTCAAATTAGGCGGCCAGGCAGATGGGGAGTTCAGCTCCCGCTGGTATTAAACACAAACCTATATTAATAACGGTCTTTTTCGTGTGTGTGTGTGTGTGTGTATGTGTGGGTTTGCATAGATCACATTTGGGGACCAAAATGAAAGTGTGGTAAAACCTGAAACTTCCTTATTTTTGGGGACATTTTTCTGGTTCCCATTTGGATAACCTCAATTTTATAAAAAAAAATCTGTGAGCGCAATCATCCATCCATCCATTGTCCAACCCACTTATCCTACTGGGTCGCGGGGGGTCTGGAGCCTATCCCGGAAGCAATGGGCACGAGGCAGAGGGACAGGGGGCCAGCCCATCGCAGGGCACACTCACACACCATTCACTCACACATGCACACCTAAGGGCAATTTAGCAACGCCAATTAGCCTCAGCATGTCTTTGGACTGTGGGGGGAAACCGGAGTAACCGGAGGAGAACATGCAAACTCCACACACATGTGACCCAGGTGGAGACTTGAACCCAGGTCCCAGAGGTGCGAGGCAACAGTGCTAACCACTGCACCACCATGTCACCCCTGAGCGCAATCAAAAAACTAAAAATGTTGAGGGTAGGGGGTTAAGGGTGTCGTGATTGGGATTAGGGTTTTTCCCCATAGAAATTAATGGAATGGAAGGTCCCCATTTAGATAGGTATGTGTGTGTGTGTGTGTGTGTGTGTGTGTTTGCATAGATCACATTTGAGGACCAAATTGTCCCCAAAGTAAAACCTGAAATGTCCCTACTTTTGGGGAAATCTTTTTGGGTCCCATTTCGATAACCTCAGATTTATAAAAATCTGTGAATGCAATCAAAAAAGTAAAAATGCCAAAAGTCTTGTATTTGGGTTGGTTACTTATGGTTAAGGTTAGGGATGGGTAGAGGTTAAGGGTGTCGTGATTGGGATTAGGGTTTTTCCTATAGAAATTAATTGAAGGTCCCCATTTAGATAGGAAGACCAACTTGTGTGTGTGTGTGTGTGTGTGTGTGTGTGTGTGTGTGTGTGTGTGACAGAGAGAGAGAGAGAGATGGATCCACTCCGTTCAGCAACACTGAGCATTACAGTGATGTCCTGTCACAGCACATTTAATGCAGATTAAAATGGTCTCAATTCAATATGCAGCATACACTTTGTTAATGGGCTTTCTTTATTTGCAAGCTGTTCAGTATTTCTTTATTAGATAATAGTCAAAAGTGTAAGCTAATATACTGTGTGAGAAATAATAGTTTAGCAGAACTTGCTGTACAGGACATTACTTTATAAGGTAGATGTATTAAAAAATGATTAAATGCTGCCTCCTAGTGGTGAAAAAATAACATTTCTTTTGGAGTCGATTTTTTTTTTCTGGTAGCTTTTACTAAAACTAAAAAGCGTTCAAAATGAAGATGAGCCATTGTGGTTGTTTCATCAGGCCAATCTCAGTCACCCAAGGGATAAAATGTGCTCTGTCTCTGCTGCAGGACCTGTGCACTAAAGAGGCAGCAGGGAACAGCCTGGGGCAAGGCTTGGACAGCACAGACGGGCTGCCGTCGAGCCCCGTGCCCCCCATGGAGTTTCCTGCGTTCAGCTGGCAGCGGCAGTCTGCTCCCCCGGAGGGCAGCCCCGGCCGCACCACCAAACGCCGTAGGAAGCTTCTACTAAAAAGCACCGTCGCCATGCAGCCGCGCAACTTGTCGTCATCATTGGGCGGCCCCCCGGACAGCTGGCGGAGGCTGGCCCATGTCCAGGAGGCACGCAAGCGACTGACGAAGGAGGTGTGTGCCAAGTACATGAGCACCAGCAGGAAAGTCACGCCACAGCACGTGTCCCGCATCTTTGTGGAGGATCGGCACAAGCTGTTGTACTGCGAGGTGCCCAAGGTGGGCTGCTCGAACTGGAAGCGGGTCCTCATGGTGCTGGCAGGCCTGGCGTCCTCCACACGGGACATCCAGCATGACGCCGTGCACTATGGCAACCACCTCAGGCGCCTGGACAGCTTCGATCACCAGGGCATCGCCCATCGGCTTCGAACCTACACCAAAGTGCTCTTCGTGCGTGAGCCCTTTGAGAGGCTGGTGTCGGCTTTCCGGGACAAGTTTGAGAACCCCAACACCTACTACCACCCTGTGTTCGGGAAGCCCATCATCTCCCGGTACCGGGCCAATGCTTCACAGGCTGCCCTCCGGACCGGTGCCGGAGTGACCTTCAAGGAGTTCATGCAGTACCTGCTGGACGTGCACCGGCCTGTGGGCATGGATATCCACTGGGAGCATGTGGGCCAGCTGTGCAGCCCCTGCCTGCTCGACTACGACTTCATCGGCAAGTTCGAGACCATAGAGGAGGACGCCAACTTCCTCCTACGCAGGACGGGTGCCGCCCACAACCTCACCTTCCCCAGCTTCAAGGACAGGAACCCGCACGCGGAGCGCACCTCTGCTCGCATCACCCACCACTACTTTGCACAGCTTGACGCTTCCGAAAGGCAGAGGGCCTATGACTTCTACTACATGGACTACCTGATGTTCAATTACTCCAAGCCCTTCAAAGACCTGTACTGAGGCCTGGATGAGGCTGGCTGTGTCCACCTCGGCGTGGCCAGCCCTGTCCTGTCCTGTAACCTAGAGTAGCAGTGACAGGAAGACCCCCCCCCCCCCATCACGGCGACACTGCAGCTCGATCTTAAGAACAGATGTCAGCTGGCTCCAGTCATGCCGCCGTGACTCACTTGCAGAGGAAGACCCCCCCCCCCCATCATGCTGCATTAATCCTATATAAAAAGTGTTTGTCCATCTGGTCCTCAGGGCAGGCTGGTCCACATTTTTGCTCCCTCCAAACTCTCTGTCAGACAGTCCACATTTTTGCTTCTTAATGGGTAGTGATGGGCAAATGAAGCTTCATGAAATAATAGCTATAATTTCTGACACCACTAAATGGTGCTATCTGTTCAAAAAAGGGTCAAATTCATGCCCCAAAGCAAACCAAGAACGCCATCTAGTGGGGACAAAAAATACAGAACACAGGTTATGAATCTTCATTTGTCCATCATTACTACCGGGAGCTGGGAGGGAGCAAAAACGCGGACTACCTGTGGATTCCCGAGGACCGGACTGGGAAACACTGCTATAAAACATTCAAAATTTTATGCACTTTGGAAAAAACATGAACTATCGAGGGCTCTGGGTTTCCCAAAGCTGAAAATCCCCTAAATCCTCAAAAACAGCCTAAGCTAAATACCTTTGAGAAAATTCCAGTAAAAACATACAAGAAGCACTGTGGCCGGTACCTCGAATGACCCCTCCCCACACCCATGGACATTCATATACAGCTGGATCGGCTGTGTCAGATGAATGCTGATAACACTCCAGATTTCACTACACATGAGCAGAACAGTCTAAACCACTTGTGAGAAACTCTGAGCAGATTTAGAATGCTACAGAGCTATCCAACAGTTTCAAGCCCTTACATCAATTCCTACAAAACAGGCTGGTCCCTGTGCATTTAATATTAAGTCCAAAAACACGTCCTTTCAAAATATTACAGATTATATATATAGTGCTCACGTACCTTAATCCAAAAACCTTATTTAAGCCATTGATTATCAGTCTTTTAGAGGCAGATATATTTTTTACATATTTATATAATGGGTTCCAGCATAAAGCTTTTTTTCATTGCATATATCCTGATTTCTGAAGCCACAGATTGGTCTGCGTGTAACATTACAGCTAATGTATGGTAAATGTCCCATCTGAACCCTCTGCAGTATGTTGGAAGAAAGTCCTGCATGACTGGCTGATAAAACCAGACCCCAGGTGCTGGATTTTTTTGAGCGAGGAGGCAGAGCAGCACAGACACAGGGACAGGAGGATGTGGGCTGTTTAAACCCTGTGTTAAAAGTCCTTCCCAGGCAATATCAGCCACAATCCTGGGAGGGGTGAACGGCCGGATTCTGATCTATGTGTATCAGCATCACCAACACAGGACCTTACACACACCAACCAGCAGAGGTCACTGGAGTCAACTTTATGAAAGCTGTGACCTACAGCAGTGTTTCCCAGTCCAGTCTTTAGAGACCCCCCCAGACATTTTTCCTCACTCCTAGCTCCCAATACACTTGTTCCAAGTATTCTGTATTTTTTATTTGCAGGGAGTGGGGAGAAAACAAAAATGTGGACTGGCTGGGGGTCCCTGAGAACTGGGTTGGGATACACTGGCCTACAACAGTGTTTCTTAACCCGGTCCAAGGGGACTCCCAGACAGATAGTCTACATTTTTGGTCCCTCCCAGATAGTCTACATTTTTGGTCCCTCCCAGATAGTCTACATTCTTGCTCCCTCCCAGCTCCTGGTAAAATGGGCAGTCTGGGGGTCCCTAAGGACTGGTTTGAGAAACACTGACCAACAGGGTATTTTTGATAAATGATGGAAAGGAAAGGGGTCGTGCACTTTTAAACTGAGAGACATGCTGTGAGATTCAGTGGTGTTGGAACAACACAGCGCCCCCTACGGTCCCCTCCCACAACTAGTGGGGGACCACATACTCCAGAGAGCCCCATCAGGGTGTGGTACTGTATGATGACAGAGGGAGGAGCTCGGAGTGGGCGGGATGTGTATCGACCGTATGCTGCAGAAGGACAGGGGAGGGATCTACCTCGTCTTTTCAGTCAGCCTGTGAGATATGCTGCAATTAACCACACAATAAATATCCAGGCCTACAGGCCAAGCTTGTTTAATTATCCGTAGACGACACAGATAGAAGGAAAGATCCAGAGAATGAATGAAAGGATTCCTTGGATGGGGAGGAAAATTTGTACAAGTGGGACTATCCTTGTGAAGTTTTGTTTGTGTAGCACCCAGCCTCTCTGATTCTGTTGGGCATTCTGGCCCAGTGGGAGAACATACACTGATTCTTACCCCCACCCCCCCACCCCAATTCCCTCCATGAAACGCCTCACTCTCGCATGAGTGTATGGGATTACGGGCGCAATGCCCCAGGATCGAAGTGTATGCGGTAACAAGTGAATGTACAGCTGTTTTACTGTCAGTGAACAAAAATGTTTTTATCATATATACATATATAAATATACGATGAAGCCCTTTGCCTTATTTTTCACTGCCAACAAACTGTTGTGTATCAGGAAAAAGACATTAATCAGGTAAGTGACTTGTTTTCTGCTGGGTTGTCTACGAATAAACATTTCTGTTTGTCTTTAGCCACGTTGTTTGCTTGTTTTTATTTAGAGCGTCTTGAACAGGTTAAAGTCCTGAGGTCTAGCATGACCAAAAAACAACCATGGAAATTCATTAGAAGCCTCCTCACAAGAGCTCAGATGCTGTAGCACAACATAACATCTTCCTGCACCGTGTTTACTAATCATGACGGGCACGTTACCACCATTTTGATGTCTCTTTGATATCTGAAAAGATGCAGCATCAAAACAATGAAACACAGGTAAGACAGTAATCTACCACATAAATCTGACATGCAGGACTATGGTGGATAGCTATGCTGGCACATTTGTGATGAGCATCATGTTTATTTATATACATGACAGATTTGCTTTGTGAACGCTGTAATTCTCATACACAATGAAGAAGTTCTATCACACTTATGTTTAGCAACATCGTTACATGATAATTTTATTGTTTTATTTTATTCTCTTTTGTGCATGCGGAGCCCTAAGAGTGGCGGTGTTCTGACAAAACATCCTACCTATCGAGACGTGCTATCGAGCCTTTCTGCGCATGTGCAGTTCCACCGTTTTGGGATTAGGGTTAGGTTTTAGGGGTTAGGGTTAAGGTAAGGGTTTTTGTGGGGTTAGGGTTAGGGCTATCGATTAGCACTTCGGTAGGATGTTTTGATAGAGTAGGACGTTTTGTCAGAACAGCGGCATTCCCAACAATGGGACAGTGCGCGGGAATGGCTTCAAGTAACAATGTATAATTTTGCACAAAATAAAACAGTATTTATACCCACACTGAAGCAACTGCAGCAAAACTAACTACCGTGCCATTAAAAAAAGCTGTAAAATGTGAAAAGGCACAAACCTGGATTTTATTATGCATTACCGTAATGAATCTCTTCTAAAGTAAACATTTCCGAAATATAAAGATTCCTAAAAGTTTACTGCGGCTGAGCATTTGGGGTGAAATGCAGAGTGATTTCATTAGACTGAATATGTGCACTTTGCCGTTTGTTTGTTTTAAATTGTGTTCCGCTTTAGTGTTTTTTTTTCTTCACGAGCAAACACTGTAATTCAGAGTACTTATTACGCCAGACTCAAACCAGATCCTCGAAATGTACACAGTGATTCTAAGTAAGTGATTCTAACAGCGTCTGGTGCCTGTTTGCGGAAAATCGCATCTGCAGACGTCTAAGTAATCCAAAACACAACCACAGAAATCATCTACTTAAAAAGATTCTGCAGCTTTAGTCAGCACGAGTTTCTGCGCATCAACATTGCACGTTTGCATTAGGAGAAACACAAACTAATATGGTGATATTTCTACTGTACTTACCCAATGCTGCAACTACGTTTAGCAGTGCGATGACATGGCTGCTCGCTGCAGTTCCTGAAACAGCCGCAGTGTGGAAGCACTGGCACTGCCAGTAGAAGCATTCATCTCACAGTATTTGTCTGAATAAGTGCCATTCATCACATATTTAGAGAGACTTTATAGCCGAAGTATGAAGTTTATTTAACTCATAAATGTTAACAAAGCGTAATCGATACCCATATAATTGCATCTAAAAGCCATTTGCGGGTGGGGATCGCTGTAAATTGCGTATTAATTGTCTGTATTAGAAATATTCAGTCTTCAATCCAGTATCTCGTCGTATCCATTTTATAAACTACTGCTGGTTAAAATTCCATGTGTACAATGTCCTGCTCTTACATTAATATTTTTGTCAGTTTCTAGACAAAAACCGTCCGGTAAGAAATGTTGTATGATGCAATTATCTATATAAGTATCTACAAGCAATATAGGCCAATTATTAGTATGTTATGCTGAAGTGATCATTTAAGAATGATGGTGAAAATCCATAGCAAATAAAGTATGGCTGGTTAATGCAGTTTTTAATAGTAATTAAACACTAATATTAGTATTCACATTAATTCATGATTTGGTTTACATTAAGTATTAAATTATTACAAATAAACATAGCAGTGCTAAGCACCTGTGTAGGGACACACACGTCCAGGAGTAAAATACGACAGAATTGAAATGCTATTCTTGCTATAAAAATGAATAATCAGCATTGTCAAGCCGAAACACCTGCTTCATCCATGCATGAATAAGTAGATAAGCTTCATTCCCAATAGACGTGCACGACACTTACAGCATGTATATATAAAGCGGTAAATGTAGACGGTTTGTAACACAAACGGCAAGCTGATGCGTCCTCTGTCTGAAACAACACAGCCAGCACGCAGTCGCCTCCGATCGCCCCACAAATTCATTTTCAGCTGGGGAATGAGGGATCCCTATGGCCTGGGGCATGGCTAATTTAATATCTTTGTCACACATTGTGATTTCAGTGTGACGGGCTTCATACAGCATAAAACAAGACAAAGTGTGCGTGCAGATTAAAGCTACACAAACGTATAGGAAGTATTATTATGGTAACCTAGAGAGACCCAACAGCGTCAGGGGCTGGAAGAGACAGAGATTTTGCTGAAGGTGGGGGGGGGGGTTTCCTTTTGAATCTGGAAACATTAAGGGAGCAATGGTGATTAGGGTGAGAATAAGCAAAAGCAGTGGATGGCTCTGCTGGTAAGGTTGGGTAGGGATGGTGATTAGGGCACAGGAGTGAGATTCAGCAAAAAAAAATGAAAGCCACAGACGGAATTCTGGGAGCGGAGATGTCCAGCTCCCTGGGTAGGACGGGTGCTGTTAGGTCAAAGCACGTCTTGGTATCATTTCAGAATGCAAAGCAGGACACCACTAGGCTGACATGAGTCACATTGCAATTAATTGTATTTGTGTAGGACACTGGCCAACAATCACATCAATAGCACTGATTACTGTGCATGAATATGCAGTGCTGTGCACACGGGGAGCAGTGTTCATGCACAAAAGTACTCCAAACGGTGGTCATGAAGAAATCCAGTCCTGCATTTTTGTTCGGACACCTCCCAGGGCGATAGGAGGGTGATTCGATGCATCACCTGTGTTACCCTTGTCATGACCTCTTCCCGCTTCCCTCCGAGCTGCTCCAGTGCTGAGAGTGATGGAGGAGACAACAGGATGGACACCATGAGTGACACGGCATGCCTGGGGGGCCGCCCCGCCCATCAGACCTCGGGACGCCAGGTCCTGTCACTCACACTGACGGCCCACTGTGGGAATAGGATCTCAGAATAAAACCCTTCACCAGGATAAATGACCCTTTATCTCCAAGACTGAAGTATGGCTTCTAGAGCAGAGGGGTTCACTGGAGCTAGCCAGACGTAGAGTGACTTGTGGGTGCCCTCAGGTGCACCTCCATGTGTCCAAGGTTTTTGGGCAGCTGCTAAATTCGCTGTCACGCGGGGGGCAGATGTGACCTGTGAAAGCTGGATGGAAAACCTATTTCTTAGCATAATTAAGGGGGCTTCATAGAGACTGTAACGGGCTAACATAAAGTAAATATCTCAGTCTCCACCCATTATCTGTATCTATATTTTATATTAAAAAAACATTTTATTTTTCTAGGCTTATAGTCTGCTTGCGGGAGTTTTACTTACACAAAAATGTACCAAAGACGAAAAATGACTGTTTCAGAGAGATAATCAGTTTGTAGAGGAGGTGGGACAAACCAATCAGTTGTCTTGGTTTAGACCCATCTCCTCTACAATCTGATTGGTTATCTCTCTGAACTAGTCATTTTTCATTCTGCCATCAGAACATTTTTGTGTAAAACTCCCATGAGCTTATAGCCCCCATGCATTACATAATAAATCCATAATTTTTATTTAAATGACAGGCCAAGGCTTGCGTATGTCAGTCCATCCATCCATGGATATTCTAACCAGTCGTCCTGGTCAGGGCTACAGGGTAAATCATGTAAATCTTAATTTATACCTGTGTAGCTCTCCTTAATTTATACCTGTGTAGCTTCACACCGTCAGTATGAAAGATGGACTGACATTTAAACAATTGTAAGAAAATGAATAGAAGTCTGATGAGGAGCAGAGATCTCAGCTACATGTTACATGCTGCAGAGATAAAGAGTAAAAAGGCTGGTTTCTCAACAGCGACAACAAATGAGACAAGATGGCCCTGCTGTTCCGATCTAATAATCTCGTCCAGAGCAGACTGTCAGGATGGATCTTTTCTAATGGAAATGCAGAGGGTGATTTCATCCTCTGTCCATTTGAGCCTCTGCCTGGCCTTCCCTCGCAGGCCTGTGAAGGTAGCCTGTCAGGTCTGATAGAGACAGGCACTGCGGCAGACGCCCGAGGGCGGGTCTGCTCTCATAGGCCTCCCACGGATACTCTGTGAGCATGGCGCTCCACCCCCACCCTCCCACCCCGGCTGCCACATGCAGCTCGTGTGTGAAGGAAGGGGAGAGAGTGACATGCCTGCCGACGGCACACGTCTGGGAATATGTGTGACGGCAACTACCGAGAGGATTACTCTGGAAAAGGCAGAGCCGCGGGAAAAGCCCCTCTCAGCGACACAGCCAAGCACGAGGCTATTTTTCACAGGCTATACTCCATTTGTGAAAACACAAGCTATGTTACTGCCATTCTAAGCCAAGAACAAAAAATTGCTATCTAATCGACTGATATAGCTGACTGGTGATCATTTCAGTATTTCATAGATTTCACCGAATGTAAGTGACCGACCACACAGGCAGCATTTTGAGTCCAGGGGGATGGACCCACCTAACCTGGGGTCATGTGACGTCACATGCTGAATGGTTAAGCAAACCACTCATTCTGCTTTGCATATGCAAGTCTGATAACCAATCACAGGGTGCCCATTGTTCCTATGATAATAAAAAGTAAGCAGTATAACATTGAGGTAAAAATTTTGCAGTCTCTCCAAGCTAATTATTAATATAATCAACTTCACACATGATATCTCTGACATTATTTAATCCCCTTTAAAGGGAAATTATGATGAACACCTAGAAGATGTCTGCTTCGAAGAACTACAGTGATCCTGCCTGTACAGGAACTGCCTGTTCCTGTTTAGTCATGTGGAAGCTTAACAGCCTGTAATA